GGGGAGGGGCTGGGCAAAACCCGCGAAGCAATGCGTGGGGGGCGAGAGGGAGGCAAGGGAGGAGGGAGGGAATGGGGATGTGTATATACGGGGTGGGGATGGGGGGGGGGGAGGTCCTCGTGTGCACGTAGGCGTTTCCGGAGCTGGCTACGCCGGCACGGGGGCTGCCCACGGCTGTCCTTATATTGGCAGGGCTGCGTTGGCCAGCAGCTGGTGCGGGGCGGGGCGCGACACACACCCCGGGGGGCGGGGGCGGGGCGGACGGGGCGGAGGGGGAGGCGCAGATCAGCGCGCGCCCGGGGGAGGGGAGATTGCGCGGCAGGGATCCGGTTCATGGCGCCGCGACCCCCCCGCTCCGCCCCGATGTCGCCACACGCCGACAAAATGCCGGCCCCGGCCCTGCTCCCAGTTCTTCCCCCGGGGTCGGCCCGGAGCTCGCCGCCCAAAAGAGAAGGAGCGGCCCGGCCGCACAGCATCCAGGACGAGAGGGGGCGAGGGGGCGAGGGGGGGGGGGGACTGGTGCGAGCGCGCGCGATCGCCGCCCTGTCTCACGGCCGACGCCCGGGGGCGCGTGCGTCGCCCCGCCGCGCACGCCAGCGGCGCTGGCCCTGCGCACGGGGGGGCAAGAATGCCGGATCGCGCGGCCGGGGCCGAGGCTCCGCCTCGCTCGTCTGGCTCCCCCCCCCCTTGGCACCGGCGGCCAGGGGCGATCTGCCGGCGCGCCCTCGGGCCCGTCCGGCGACACCGGCGGCCTGCCCACCGCAGCAGGGGACACCCCCCGCGCCTGCGGGCGTGCGGGCCGGCTTTCGGAAAAGGGCCACACACACACACCCCCCGCGGCGCGCCATGCAGCGTCCTCGCCCCCGGGCCGCGGGCGGCCGCTCGGTCAAGGCGCCGGGCGAGGGCAGCCCTGGCCGCCTGCCCCGCGTGCCCCCGGGCCCGCGAGGCCGGCCCCGGGTGTTCGGCCGGGCGAGCTCCCCCGTGGCCGCCCGCCGCCCAGCGCATGCCCCTGGGCATGTTCGCTGGGGAATCTGCACCGGCCACGCCACCCCCCCCCCCCCCCCCGGTGCGAGTGCGTGAGACCGGGTCGGCTGCACGCCTGCGCCGGCCGCGGCGCACGGCAAAGCGCGCCGGTCGCCGGACCCCGCCCCCTCCCAGCGCGCCCCGGCCGACCGGGGTGATAGGCCCCCCCCCCCAGCGAAGCACGCCCGGGCCGAAACATGTGGTACCAACGAATGAGGACTCCCGGGCCGGCCGGCCGGCCGCGGCGCGTCCGCCATTCACCCGCGGGCTTCCCTCTCATCAGGCCGGCGGCCGTTGTCGTTACCGCCGGGGCGCCGGCGCCGCGGCCGCCAGCCAGCCAGCCAGCCGGGGAAAGGCCCACAGGAGGTGCCCCAAAAAGGGCGATCACCGGAGATCGCCGCCGGAAGCCGATTATTAATTCCCCCTAATGAGCACCCAATCCTCCCCCCGGGGGAAGGAGGGCGGCGGTCCGACCGAAGAGGGGCGGGGGGCGGGGCAAGATACCGGCTCCCACCGCGCCCATCTTTTTCCCTGCCCCGTCGCATGTGAAAGGCCCGGCGCGCTATCTCTCCCTGCGCACACCGGCCCGGGGGGGGGGGGGGGGCTCCCCGGGGGGAAAAACCCCCCCCCCCGAAGCCCCCCCCCCCCCAAGCCCGGCCCGGGGGGGGGGGGGGGGGCCTCCGGGCGAAAAAGACCGCCCCGCGAAGCAGCCTCAGCCCACAGGCCGGGCCCGGTCGGGGGATGGGCCGCGCCCGAGGGCCCGCGCGAACTCTCCGTGCCGCAGCCCCGGGCGCGGTTGCGCCGGCTTGGTGCGCCCCCCCCCCCTCCCCCCGGCCCACAGCCGGACCGTGACGAGTCGCCCGGCCGCGGCGCGTGCCGTTGTCCGGAGGCGGACCCGCCGCCGTTCGCCCCGGCCCCCATCCCGCAGCCGGGCACCGTTCGTCCCCGATGCGCAAGCCGGGGGGGAGGCCGGGCCCGCCGGCGCGGAATGCGCCACCCCCTCCCGGGGGGGGGGGGGGGGGCGTGGGGGACGGAGAGCCGGAAACGGCCCGGCCGGAAGGCGCCAGCATCGGGCCTCGCCGCGCGCCGCGGCCGCGGCGTGCGCCCGGCCGCCCGGGCGAGCGACCCGCCCGGCCGCCCGGACAACCTGCGTCACCGCCGACTCACGCCTGCTCGCCCGGGGCGCTCCGAAGGCCGCGGCGGCGACCGGGAAAACGGCCGCGCGTGGCCGCCGCAGACAGGGCCCCGACGCCAGGTGAGCTGACCATTCTCCAACGGCACCCCCCCCCCCCCCCCCCCCCCCGGCGCCGCGGCCGGAGGCCAGCCGCCAGCAGGCACCACATGCCGGGAAGCGAGCGCCCGCAGGACGGGCAGAGGGGGCGCCGTGGTTTACCGGCACCCGGCCATTTGGGCTGCCCCGCCTGCAGATGGGGCCCCAGCCCGGGCAAACTCCCCGCACGCCGAGCACATGCGCCTGCATGCCTGCCTGCCTGCCTGCCTGTCCCTCAAGCCACATCGTGTTCGTGGCCATGCCCACTGCGCCCAACGGCCTGGCCAGCCCGGACGAGCCCCCGCCTCCCGGGGGGGGGGGGGGGGTGCGCCTGTGGCCGGCGTCCCCCTGGCGTGGTGCGTGCGAGCGGGGGAGGGGTGCCGATGTTTGCTCGCCGACGAACCGGGTGTTTTTTCCGTGGCGGCCGCAGCGTGCTCAGGCAAAATGGCCAGCGAGCCCGTGATCACCGAAGTCAGCACACGTCGTTGGGGATTTTCGGGATCCTCCCCCTCCCAAGACACACGTCTCGGGGTCTGTTTAATTGAGCCCGGGATTGGGCCATTCTGCCGGGTGGGTTGGAGACCCCGCTGGCCCCCACAAACGGGGCGCCGCAGGAACAGACGTGTCCCCCCTCCCCCCCTCAGAATAGAGCCCTCAGAGCCGGCCCCCCCCCCC